AATTCATAATACATTTCAACTCTTTAATGGCAATTAGGTACTTTCTGAAGCATTGTAGAACATAGGAGGGGTGATATTACTGAATGGTCACAGGAAGGTTTTTGGAATTGTTTCCAAAATTGCTTTAGCACACAGAGGCTTTATTTAATTCCACCTTTGATCATTATGCTTGCAAAAGATTGTTGCTGTATTTCCCGAGCTTAACATATTGATAGGATGATGGGAATCATGTGGCACATATAAGATGTGTTCTTGCACTCCTCACCTCAGAAAAAAAGCAAAACTTCAGGAAGGTGACATAAATACAGAACATTTAAAAGGATTGTGAAACCTCTTTGTACTTACCATTTGCATTTGCAATCTTGGCTGTTAAATATTGTATGTGTATGTTGTGAAGAAAGATGTATCCTTACAGAAATTAAGTTCTAGCAAAACTTTTAATAAAAAGTAATAAAATATTCAAAGCTGGTGAAAATGCAACTGTTTGCTTATAAAGTGGTGTACCAAGTAAGTACTGATTGTACTGCAGACAACTTTGTGAATCTTTAATGTAAGTTCACGACTTCTAGCTACAACAGCTGCCAGGAAGTTCATTTATACGTATACTGTTAGATGAAATGGTGGTGGAAGTTAAAGATCACTAAACAGATAATTTTAGAAAACGAACTGTAACCTGTAACAACAGGTGTGATACCTGATACTTCACAGCTGATTAAAACTTAGGTACAAATTTCAGAATTTTAAAATTGGCCAATTGAGCTGTAGAATGCATATGTGGCTTGTGTAATACAGGTTTGAAGCTAGCAATTATAATACACCAGCTCTTTTTGACTATAGTCTGAGTCAGAATAAAATTTGTTTGAATGTAGTATTTTTCATTTGTTTATATTTTAATGACAATAAGTTGATATTAAAAATAAAATGTCTTAATATAATAAAATACATAAATATTTTAAAATACTATATTAGATGTTTTATGATAACACATACACACACATACATATTTGTGTGTGTTACTAGAACTTTTAAAATTATCAAGGTCAGTAGCAAGAGATGCAGTTTGTTGTACATGATAGTTATATATGTCATGTATGTGAAGTCTTCAGTGTTAGGAACATTCTCTTAATTAAAATATTCTAGACTTTTTATATGAGCAGCATGCTTTAGTTTACTTTGCAGGATTTAGGCAAAACTTTATCATGATGAAGTTATATTCTCAAGAAAATGCTGAATATAGAAAAACTGTTTCCAGTTGGTATTCTAGAACAGATTCTCAGCCTTTTCTTTCTTAAATCCTACTAAATAACCTGGATCCCACTTTTTCCATATCAACCATGTTATGCATCATTTTGAAAGCGGAAAAAATGGAAATATTTCATAATCTATTTCTTTTACACTTTTGCAAAAATAAACAATATTATAAACAATGATTCTTTTTCACTTTTTTTTCCTGGACCTTCACATCTCTAATCCTGAACATATTTAATCAGGACTCAATCGAAGTGAACTCAGTATGGTTTAATTCCTGTTCTGTCTCATGGAAGTACAGAGGAAGAGTACTATTTTAGTTGGGTAGCTAAAGTTGAGAGCTAGTACATCAGTCCCACAGAAATACTATACCCAAAGATTTATGCAAGCTAGTCCACCAATTCATGTAGAGAATAAGGAAGATAACCTTGAAGGAGATATGCAAGCAAAGGGGATGAAGCATTTTTAAATCCAGAATGAGATAACATTTGGAAGGAGGAGGAGGAAGAGGTACAGCACATACTTGCAAAGTTCTATTACTATAGACAATAAAAGTAGTTTTACCCTTCCTGAAGAGTTGATTTCCTGGTCTGGTCTACCTAGTGGGGCTGACAGTTCAAAGCCAGGAAATTTGTACCAGGTGTAAGAGGGTTCAGGCTACCATAATGGTTTAATTTGGGTGAAGGTCAATATATCCAAGAAAACAGTTCACAGTTACACGTTCCAAATATGGGGCTGTAAGGCTGCCTGAAATCAACATTGTTTCCACCCACTGTCTTGGCTTCTGTTATAGCGCTTAGCAGCTCTCCCCTCCTAGGCTGTGCTGGCACTCATCCCGGTTCTAATTACATAAGAGGTTATTTCTTCCAGGGAATCATGTGTTCCACCATTTACATATCTCACATTAGAGCAAACACCAAATGTGCAAAAATTACAAATATTATTGGAGAGGGAGAAGCTACTGAGAATACTAAAACTTTCTAGAGGAGATAGAGCAAGGAATATTGACTTGCTGGAGGAGGGAACAGAAAGGGAGGAAAAATAGAAGAGAACATGATGAGAAAAAGTATGATTAAGGAGGCTCTACTTGTTCTCATTTATTTTATGTAGAGATTCTTATCCAAAATACTTGTTTTTAATTATTTTTCTCTTCTTTTGGACATGGGTACAATTTGTTGCTTTTGAAATTTTCCAAATGTCTAGATACATCAGATGAATCCTCTGAGGTTTTTCTTATAGTTTTACATGATGTTTAATATAGTCTACAAATACTAATTTGACAGTTGTGTCCTGATTTTTTAAAACATTCATTACCATGAGCAGTTATTTTGAATACCGGAAATCATAAAATATTTCAACCCAATTTTTCAACTTGTATTTTTCTCTATTGAAAAAAAAAACTCATATTAAATGCCTTCATCTTAAAAAAGAAAAAGAAGAAGAAATAAGGAGTGGAATAAATCCACACTGCCTATTAATTACGGTAGGACTCTGAGGAGGTTGCATAATGTTAGTGCTCAGGGATTATTTTGGAAGGGTAGCTATAAGATAATACTGTATAGTGAAAGTGGCATCACCATGAATGAGCAGGAAAACTTAACTATAATTTTGTATAGAGAGGAATTCTGTAAATAAGTGCATAAATTACAAGCTACATCTATATATTTATTTAGCCATGGATAATGAGTAGAGGATGTCTTACAAATGAGTCAAATAATCACTGCTTTTTCAGCCATTTTCTGGGGTTTTTTCCCCTTCCTTCTGCTGGTATCCAGAACTGCAAATCACCTATAAGCAGTAAAGAATTGTTTTGCTTCTAAGCAATTTTGTTTGTTGAATAGGATGTTAGGGGTCTTTTTTGTGGAGGCTGTGATTGGGATGTTTCAGTGGAGTACCTTTTCCTGTATGGGTGTTCTGGCAGATGTTGCTTATATGGTTTTTTTCTGTATATCACTCTGTTTTTGAAATTATATTCTGTTATTCTTTATCTTAGAAGATATGTAAATTGAAATTAAGAACTTAGATTACATTCCTAACTTGTACTCCTGGAGGAGTTGAACTTCAAAAAAGGCTATCCAGCGTGAGGAAGAATGAGGAAGCTAGGGATGGAGAGGGGAGCAAGTGAAGACATTTTAATTTGAGAATGTGGTTCATTTTTAGCTGTTTTTGCTTCGCACTTTTGTGACTTGATGGGAAGTTTAGAAAGGGCACTGAAGGAAACCAGCAATTAGTCAGGAATACTGGCTCATAGGTAATAGTGAACCCCAGCTGAAATGAGCCAAGATTAATCAGCTTTTTGTATTTGTTATGGAAAATAAGTATGGTTTGTAGCCTCGTGTAGAATTAGATATCCAGCCGCAGTTAAGATAGCCAAATACTGAGTTAGCATTATATGCAAACCAAGTTGTGACTAGTTGTGTTCATTTGCAATAAGAGCACCATGCTGGTACACAGTGCTTGATTACTACTTCTTAGCTATTCCTGCCATTGAGTGTAGCTAAACACATTTGGAATGGCTCTGATCATGGTTTCTTTAGAACTGCGTGCAAATTAATCTTGGGGTTGTTTCATAAACAATGTGTTGTGACTGGTGTTAGGAAGAAAACAAGTCTGAGTTTCAGATTTGCAAACAATGCATGGACAAAGCTGTCTCTGGCAGGAGGAGCCAAGCTGGAATAATTGAGTGGTATATATGAGTACCACTTGCTTATGATTAAGCTAGAATTATGTTTTTTTAAAACATTTTTATTGTTTCAGATATATAAACAAAAGGGGAAGGGAGACCCCAAATACAAAAATTAAAAGAAAATACAAAGAACCAAAAACAAATGTCAATAACAAAACAGAAAAAAGAATATTGACCATAAGAGTAAAATTTATCAGACTTTCTACTACTCTGATAAAAGGTCATTATGTATGCAGAAAGTGAATGCATGTCTTCCAACCAGGGTTTTAAATCATGGCATTAAAATCTTTCCATTGGAGTAAAACAGTCTTATTAGCTGCAGCTGCCACATGATTAATCCCAATTTCTTTATAATTTGATAACTTCCAAATTTTTGGAATATAATTTAACATCACATTCATGTGTTCATTGGGACCATAGGATACTAATTCAACATTTCTTTAAAACTGTAGTGGATTGATTTCCTAAATCAGATCATTATTAGTCACTATAAGTTGCCTGAAAGATCCCCTTATCAATTTTGGTACAAACAGTTAACTCTAGATTTGGGAACTTTTCAAAAAATTTTCTAAGAATAAAAATTTAGGTGTTTCAGATGCTGCAGATACAACAGGCCTAAATTGTAAAATCAAAAGATGTTTTAATTGGTTATAATGCCATATGACACTTTTAGGCAATCCAAATTCCATTTTTAGCCTTTCTTTTTAGCCTTATATTCAAATGCAGCCATTGTAAACTAGGAATACTGGCCATATTGGGATTCTCATCTTTATTTTTTTTTTCATTTTTTACTTCCAACTCAATTCTCATTTGACAATTTGATATTGCTATCTGAAATATATGCCAGATGGCTTTATAATGAATGATCAAGTGAACATCTCTGCTGTTTGAATGGCTGGTGTTAAAGAAATGTCAGAGATTTATACTGTTATTAATAACTATGGGGGTGTTATTTTTTCCTGTTCAGTGCTTAGATGTAGCAACTAAATGGTGCTACAGTCTGCGAAACTGAGCTTCTAGTATCTCAGCATAATTTACTAGGGTTTTTCTCTTTCTGGATTTACAGAGATATGAAAAATGCTGTAATTGGAAACAACAAACAAAAAGCCAACTTGATTGTTTTGGGAGCAGTTCCAAGGTATGTCCTCTGCTACTCTCATTTTCACTGATTCACAGCAGTCTCATTAAGCCATTAAGGGCACTTAATTTCCTGACTATCACTGACTCTATATTTACTTTCTCTATAGCTGAGATTAGTATATCTGATTCCTTGCTATAAATTGCTTGTGTGGATACATCTGTGCTGCAAAATTTGGAAAGAATGTCTTTTTCAAAGTTGTGAAAATAATTGCTCAAAAGTAACTGATTAATAAAGCCTCTAAAAGAAATGTCTAAACCTGTTTTTTCTATCTCTCACTTGCATTAAGATTGCATATAAGAATTGAATGAAGGGGACTGGTCCTCAAAGTTCCTGCTGTTGCAGCACCACCGCGGTCACATGATCATCATTTGTGACCTTCCCTGCCGGCTTTCTACAAGCAAAGTCAGTGGGGAAGCAGGCAGGAGGTTGCAAGTCGCCCCACTGCTTTTTTGCCTGTCCGTGGCACCCATGCACCCACTTACACTCCATAGTGCCTATCTGCGACATCCACCCAACCACTCACACTCTGTAGTGCCTGCCTGTGGCATCTGCCCACAGCACCCTGCCCCCCTGAGCTCTCATCCGCAGCTCTCACCCACTGGCCTGCTTGCCTGGGACTTGCACCTCTTCCCACTGTGCAGTCACATGAGGTCCTTGCTTAAAGACCCATGTGGTCCTGGGGTTACAACGGCAACTCGGACTGCTGGGCTTACTGTTGCTAAGCGATGCAGTCATGTGATGTCATGCTTTATGACCACATTGCTTAGTGACAGAAATTCTGGTCCCAACTGCCACTGTAACCCGAGGACTACCTGCAATGTGTGGGGTTTTTTGCTTCTATTTGTACCAATATGATATGTGCTTATTTTTATTATCAGAATCAAAATGTCAGCATTAATGATGATTAAAATATGTAACTGGTTTGCTCATAATGTGCTCTTCAACTGTTACTTCTAGTGTTCATAGAACCAGAAGGCAAAGCAACACTATTTTGAGATTTAAGCAGGTATGCCAGGAAAGACAATCCATGGATCAGATGCAGCTGCTGAACCACTTTTTTGTCCACCATCTAGTGCTTTCTCTGTTCATGCCACAGACAGTGCAATTTTCTTCTGATTTGGGGGAAGAAATAACATAATTATTTGAGTCTTAAAATAGCTTTAAGACATTAAAACAAATTTATATCAACTGCCTCCTAAACTGTGAAAACTTAAAAAAAAAATGGTCATGATCATTTGCGTTTGTTTAAAATCAAGACATCTGCTTTGTCAGATTTTACTTTAACATTTTGATAAGCAGAGTAATGATGTAGCTACCTACCTGAATTCTCCATTCTTTTCCTTAGTCATTCCTGAGGCATGATGATCATTACATTTGCACAGTATCTTCAAGCCAGGACCATCTTGAATACTTGATAGAATAGAAAAGTGAGACATAAGTCTCCAAAATAAAGCCCTCTATCAGTCAAATTAGTACAACTATTTTATGTGATACAAATGTAACACTAACCTTTCCAAACATTGAAAAAATAGGTGGGATATGAAAGCAATGGATCTCAAGCAAACATGAGGAATACATCCACTAATTTGACCATATTAAGCAATTAGAAAATGTTAATCTGCACTGAGAAACAGTAAAATTCACTCTTAATCTTAATATAAAAATTCTAGAGTCCAGGTTCTTTTTCCTGTTCTACTATAGAACTCACTGGATGACTTTAGGTCAGTGAATATAAAATTAAGACAGACTATGTTGCACATAGTTTAGCTCACTCCAACTCAAGGCAGGATATAAATGCAGTTAATAAATAAGAAATCAGTATTCAGTCACCAGTAGGGTAGCTATGTCAAGTTTGTTTCGTATCAGTTTGCAGTTGGCAAAAAATTAGTTTTAGGCACTGAAAGTGAAAATGGATACAGAGGCAAAATGGTGTTTATTGCAAACCAGAATATCTAATCTCCCTTCATATTTGAAAAAAGTAGAAAAGCAGTAGTGCTGGAGTTCAAGCTGAGCAACAGTTTTGTTGTTACAGTAATAAAGCATAAGGAATTGATTTTGCCTCACACAGTGGTTATATGGAAATGTGACTTGTAAATGCCTAAGAATGTGTTGCTAATATGGTAGTCAAATATCTTGGTAAAATTTTGTTAAAGTGCAACATAGTCCTTTTGATAAACAATATAGGAAGAAGTTAATGAAGCAATTTCCCCCCCCAAAATCTGCTTGCTTTATTTGCATTACTAACGCAAACTTGTTTTGTTCTCATAAGGAAAAGATTGAAATCACATAACAGTTAAATTATATAGATAAATGAGCTGTGATGATGATGAACCAATTGTAGACAAAAATGCCCTCAAAATTTAGCTATCCTTTATAGGTAAGCCACATTTATAAAATATCAAGGCTCTCCTATGTAACTGCAATTCTATGCATATTTACCAAGAAGTAAAATAATCAAACTCAGTAGGACTTTCGTCTGCATAGACTTGAATGGGATAGCACTTACATATTTTACCAGGCTTATATGCCACTCTAATCATGCCTGACTTACAAATCTCTAAAACAGTAATAAGATTAAAAACTAAAAACAATTGTATAACAACATAAACAGAAAAACAATATAACTTCTCAAGTGCCAAGGAGTTATCATAGCCCATGTAGTCAGTCATTCTTCAGGAGAAACAAAAACAATCCTTAGGACCCCTGACAACATGCATTACCTTATCCTGCACCCCTCCCTAATCCCTGTATTTAATGTTGAAAAAAGGAGAAGAAAAGACCCTGTCATTTGTGCTGAATATTGGAAGTCTACCTCAACTGAAGAGGATTCTTCAAATCAAACCTTTATTACCGCCTATGGGCCAGAAGGCACAACAATAAAATACATAGACCTGTAATTATTAATAAAACTTTTAAACATTGGAGTAAATTTACATAAAATACATTATTATTAGTAACGGTAGTACAAATAGCAGTGGCAATCACTAAAATTTGTGCTAAGCTTCAACCATAGGTAGGATGGATACAACAAATGATAGCACAAAATCAGGCAACCTGGAAAGATATGTCAGGGTCCTGGTCAGATACAAACAGTGACAGATAGACATTGTGCTCTCTGTCAGGGTTGTTCTTTAAAATGGGATAAATATATATCTTCCTCGATTCCTTATAGATAGAGCAACAAAGGAGCAATATGGCTTAGGAATTCTACAGACATCTCCACATGGACATAAGCACTGCTGAAAAGGGATGTTTTTATACTGTCCCACAGAGCTGCAGAGGGTCATCTCTCCCTCCAATGACTTGTTCTTTGCTCTTGCATAATTCTTAACCTGGTATTCATGCATGCATGCATGCATGCATTGTTTCAGTTTATATAGCACCCATCTCAAATACATGTGTCTGGGTAACTCACAGCAATTAAAAGAATATAAAAACAAAAACAATACAAGAATCATATAAAAATAATATTAAAAACTATACAATAACACAGTCAATAGCCAAGGTATAGCAAAAACCACCACCAACAATCAGCATAACCATTGTACAGATTCAACCACAAGCTCAATGGCAAAACCAAGTTTTTAAGGCCTTACAAAAAGCCAGTAGAATCAGGGCCAATCTGATCTCTGAGGGGTGATGTTCCAAAGGATGGATCCCATGACAGAAAAGGCTGAAAATATATCTACTTTCCTGTGAAGAATACCAAAAGAAATAAGCTAGGCCAATTGTCAGTTATAATAACCAAAAGTTGAAATATCCAACTTTTTTCAACACCACCACCAATGTACTCACTTCCTGTTGTTGAAGAAAAACAACAAAGGGGAGAATAGGGAGGGCAAAGAATCTCTGCTTGAGGGTATGGGAAGATAGAAGGCTTAGCTGCTTTTCCTCTTCTGTAGCAAGCCTCCATGCTTAGTGAAGAGGAGAAAAATAAGTGGAGAAGGCAGGCAAGCTGGAGGGAGGGCAAGGAAGGCAAAGTTACTGGTAGATGTTACTGGTAGGAATAATACCTAAAGAAGTTTGGTATTTCTTCCTGAGCCTTAAAACACACATACAATTTTGTTTGCTGGGGAGGTTCTGTTCTCTCCAGCAGCCAAAGCTGAAATGGCCATGGAGGCATAGAGCTTTGCAACTGGATGGGAGAGGAAGTCCTACAGCAGGCTAATTGGAGTTCTGCATGTCACCAAACTCCCTCAGGCTTCCTTTCCACCCGAATCAGAATATTTTCATAGAAAATTGCATTGTATTTTCCAATGGAAAACACCACATTTCTGTTAGATAACAGAATTGATCCAACCTCAGCCTGCTTCAGCAGCAGGCTTGCACCAAGATGGTAAGTGGTAAGAACATGTCCTCGACAAATTCTAAACCTTCTAGGTGTGATGCAAGGAGGGTACGTGATAAGTCCTGAGCTATGCTAGTTTGACTCTGTTCACATTGCAGAATTAAGTGTGCTGCAGAATTAAGTTGCGAATATAACCTATAGAGGTGTGTTAATTTGCCTCTTCATTTATTAGATACAAATGATGTTTGTCTATAGTAGATGTGAGAGCAAAACATTCAAGAAGATAATTATGCTTTGTTAAAAAGCTTGCCAAATTGTAATGCAGTAACTGAGGAGAAATAGGATTTAAAGGAAGCAGAATTCATATGCAAACATTTAATATCTAAAATCTGTCACATAATGGCCTATAGCATGCATAATTCCAAAAATGATAGCTAAAGTATAATTTTTTTTTCCTTCAGCTGTACAAGGTCTTTTCTTTCCTTCATTTTGCTAGAAACATAATGGCAAGTAGGAATAGGTTTTGCTTAATTTTTGCACCTTTTATCCAGTATGAAATTGTGATTGAGAGCATGTCCCTGAGGAGCTTAATAAAATGATCTCAAAAATGTGAATTCCTGATTACCTTTAAAAGCTCTGCCTTTTTCTCAGATTACCCTTACTGTTCAGCTGAAAAGATGTAGAAAAATAAGGAAGAGGGATAAAAATGATATATGGGTCAAATTCAATGATTGGGTTACTAATTGGTCATCAATAGTGCAATTTGTCTCTGTTGCAATTGGTTGCCCAGTACTTTGCCCAACCTTCCTTGGTTGCCCAGTACTTTGAATAATTAGTAGGTAGATTAAATTCTATGACATGAGTATTACGTTGGACACCTATCCCTAGGTGTTTAAATGAAGTAATGAAAACATTCTGAGGATTAGAGTACTTTTGGTTCAGTATAAAATAATTGGAAATAGGAAGAAGTATTGTTTG